ATCGTTTATATCTTTATTTACTTAATGCAGTGTCTGCAAGTTTTCTTTCTGTAGATGTACTATTTTTCTTTTTGTAATTAATAAATGCCTTGTGAGACATACTTTGTGACTACGTAAATATCCTCTTTCTCATAGGTGACAAAATGTTTCGCTCAAATTCACATTTGGGGTCCTCACTAGATTCCCTAAGTACAAAAATTACTTAAACTATATTATACCAAACAGTCTATTCCCAAAGAAACACATATTTTCATTTGTTACTGCTTTAATCTTGGCATCAATAATACGAGGCAATGCAGCCTTGTCAAAAGAATCATGCAGATTGAATTAAAAATGCAGCATGGCCCTGCCAATGTGGCTCTGGGATAGAGCATCGACCTAGTGGACCAGGTCTCCGTTCGATTCCCGGTCAGGGCACATGCCTGGATGGAAGGTTGATCACCAGTAGGGAGGGGGTGGACAGGAGGCAGCCTAGCAATGATTCTCTCTCATAATTGATGTTTTTATCTCTTTCTCCTCCCTTCCTCTGTGAAGTCAATAAAAAAATATTTTTAAGTGCAGCATAGCATATCCTCCCTTGTAAATTCTCCCCAGGAAGTTTAATTGTGGAATCTACGGACCAACAATTCATACGAACTCTTTACTTCAATGTGGACTGACCACTTAGACTGAGGTTAGTAAATTGATTGCAGAGCCTTTCATTCCGACAATACCGGAGTGCCACCATGAGGTGAGCTTTGGTTCTGAAAATATTTGCTTGAAATCGGTCCTGATTGCAAGAATATCTGAGTAGTTACATTTACTTTGCATTATACTTACATTAAAGCATGAAAAATGTACTCTATTGATTCTTGATGGCCAAAAAAAAATGTAAAAAAGTATAAGAATTTTTATTTTTATTTTTCAGTTATAGTTTATATTCAATATTTTGTTGTTTTGGTTTACAGCATAGTGGTTAGATAATCATATACTACACAAAGTGTTCCTCCCGTGTTTCTAGTACCTACCTGGTACCATAGTAACTATTACAATATTATTGGCTATATACCTATGCTGTCCTTTACATCCCAGTGGCTATTTTGTATTGTAACTCTAATTTGTACTTCTTAATCCCTTCATCTTTTTACCCAGCCACTCAACCTCCCGTTTGGCAACTATCAACCTGTTTACTGTATGAGTTTTTCTATTTTGTTTCTTTTATTCTTTAGATTCCACATATAAGTGAAATCACATGATATTTGTCTTTCTCTGTCTATTAGCATATCCTCTAGTTCCATCCATGCTGTGGCAAATGGTAAGGCTCCATTCTTTTTTTGTGGGTAATATTCCAATATATATCACAACGTTTAATCCATTTGTCTATTGATGGACACTTGGGTTGCTTCCATATCTTGGCTATTGTAAATAATGCTGCATTGAACAAAGTGAAAGAATTTGGATTTCTAAAGTACTAGATAAAGTATTAGTGAATTTTGAGAAATTGAAAACTTAGCCCCAGGAAAAATGAGATTTTTGTCTAACTGTGAAGGATTGCTGGGTTTAAAAAAATCTATAACCAATCACCCTTTATTTTAATTAGCTCTAACGCTGTGAGCTCTAATTTTATACCTCCCTTTTCAAAATAAAAAAGAATTCCTATTTTCAATTGATCATTACAAATTCCACTCAAATGTCCCACAGAAAATCTGAAACTCAACTTATTCTATTGTCCTCATGCAAACCTAGCTCTCCAATATTCCCCATCTACATGAACAGAGCTACCCTCACCCAATCACCTAAGTTTGAGACTTGGGAATTGTTTTAGGTCCCTCCCCCCCTCCCCTGTCTTCCTACAGTCAAGTCAGGAAGGGAGTTCTATCAACTTTACCACCTCAATGCCCTGTCCCCTTCTCCTCTTCCCTTTTGCTACTGCCTTCTTTCCTCACTAGACTACCTATCCAGTATGTTAAGTTTTTCACCACTTTTGGCCTCATGTGTTCCTCCTTTGGCCGACCCTAACACAATATTCTTCTGGCCTCTCTATCTCCAGACTTGCCTCCTTTCCATGTTGCTGCTGAAGTGATCTTTTTACATTGAAAACTGTTTATGTCACTGGCTTAACATCCTTTAATGGCGTCTAAGACCTACAAAATCAAAACAAACTTTTGGTGTACACATAAAGTGTATGGGAGTAGTCCTTACCCAGCTGTCCAGCTCTACCTGTTGCTACATCATCTGCTCTCAGCTTTGCAAAATCACTAGTAGGTCCCAAACACCATGGATTTTTTTTTCATGTTTTCTTACATATATATTGTTACTGCTTTCTTTACTTAGAATAGCTTTATCTGTCTTGTCTCATTTGTCAACATCTCTCTCTTTTTTTTTTTTTTTAAGGGTGTGCAAGCTTTCTCTCCTCTACAAAACTTTCCTAACTTTCCACAAAGCCCAGCCCATCCTTCCACCACAGAGTGACTAATCCCTTCTCTCCTATAATTTATACCACCGCACCTAGAGAATTTTCTTGCTCCATTTGAAAAAAGAGCTCTCTGTCCATAGTAGACTTTAAGATACCTGAGAGCAAAGGCTGTGTCTAACCTCCCCCTGCATCCCTAGACCCTAGCTTATGCCAAGCATGCTGTACAAAACAACAACAGAGTTTGTTAAATGATGGGCAGGAGGTGGAGGAGAGAATGATTCTCAAAAACATATTTTGGGGTATGGAGTGATCGCTGTGTTCATAGCAACAAAATATCCCAAATAGCTCCCACTGTCGGGTTAGACAGACTTTGTGTTCTCACTTGCTACAGTTGGGAAACCATGTGTGTCTACCAATCAGACCATACTGGTTTTTGGAGAAATTCCAGTTATACAAACCCATGACTCAATTCTTGCTACTTTTATTGACGATAGTTTCTAATTGTTTTTGTCCTGAAGAGGAAATGGTCCCTTAATGAGTCATCTGGACATTACCAAGGTAAGAAATGATACAAGGCTGATAGTTTCCACCTGACTTCATTCACTCAGCCAAAATTCATTACAAAGTGCCAAGCAAAAGGCACAGATCCTTTCCTAAATTCACAAGGTTGGCAGTTTCAGGGATTTTTGTTTATTTTATTTCACTTCATTAATTCCACAAGATTTATTGACTGCTTACTATTTGAAACAGACTCCGTGCTAGGCAAACATAATATGAAGATAAATGAGATATAGGCTTATCCCTCAAAAAGCTCAAAATCTGGTGTAAAACAGATGCGGAAACAAATATAATGCAATAGGAAAAGTGCTAAAATAGAGGTACTTACAAAGTGGTAGGAGAAATTACAGAAAATAGATTGGCTATGTCAAGAAGGGGACATTCAGGGTAAGCTGCTCAGAGGAGAGGACATATAAACTGAGTTTTGAAGAATATAAGGATTTTGCCATGGAGAAAAATGAGGACATTCTAAAAGGAAAGAAAAATATGTACAAAGGTCCATATTTAGAAGAAGCAAACCTGAAATGAGATTGATAACATTAAAATTTAGAGAAGAGAAGTAACCTACCCAAGTGGAGTATGTTATATATAGCTGGTATGTATAATTCGATTTTAATAAATTAAATGCTTGTTTGATGTGACTCCATTGTACCATTTATATGTTGATGACTCCTAAATTTATTTTTTCAGACCTGACCTTCTTCCTTGAGCTTCAGACTCATGGATCCAATTATCTACTTGGATGTCTCTACTTAAAGCCAAGTAGGTATCTTGACATATCCAAAATATAATAACTGATTCCACACTCCCCCACCTCTATTCCTCATCCTTTCAAAAAAATTATTATTCCCTTATTCTTTCTTAGCTCAGTAAATGGCATGCCATCTACCCAGGGTTTCAAGCCAATAACCTCAGAGTGATATTTTGCTCTCTTTACCCCATCTCTACATGAAATGCATTAGGTGCATTTAGCTCTACCTCCAAAATACATCTCAAATCTACCCATTTAACTTCATCGGCAGAGATACCACCCTAATCCAAAGCACCATCACAATTTCTACTTTGATTGGCCTCCTTGTTTCCATTCTTACCCTTCCTATGGTCCATTCTCCAAATATCCAGAGTAATCTTTAATAAAACATTCGCTCATTCATTCATCAAATATTTATTGAGAGAACACTGGAGATGGGGATACAGTATCGAAGGATGTTAGACCCCTGAGCATATGGTCTTTCATTCTAGAAGGGGGAGAGGTAATACACACGTAAATAATTTTGTACAGCACATATGCAATGAAGAAAAAATAAATTCAATAAGCTAAATCTCTTGCTACCCGAGTTTTACTGAGTTGCTCTCTCAGCAAAACATTTTGACAGTTTCCCAGGCTGTTTAGATTAAAATCCAAATTCCTTCCTCTGACCGTGTTGTAAGATCCTATGAGATCTGGTTTCTGTTTGTCCCTCCAACCTTATCAGAGCCACACTCGCTCCCTGCGACTTTTCTCCAGTCGCCCTGGCCTTCCTTCCATGTCCTCGTTGCTCCAACCTTTCCCTTCTGCACACCTGTGTTTGCTCCATCTGGGATGCTGTTTCCCAGACCTGGGAAAGGCTGCCTGCTCTTCACTCCGATATCACCCCATCATTATGAACCTGAATAATATACCTACACGTAGCTCCCCCTTCCCTTTCTCTATCAGGGACACTGCTTTATTTGTTTCCATAGCACTTCTTACTTTCGGAAATTATCTTCCTTATTTGTTAATGTCTTCTGTTCCCACTAAAACTTGGATCCTCCTGAAGTAAGAAACTTGAAGTGGTTCGCCAAAGTATCCCTAAAAAGTCTAGATCAGTGTTCTGCAGAAGAGGCTCTTGATAAATATATTTTGGAAAAAAAACAGATGAATAACGGTGGACTCTAGGACACACAACAAACGAGTCGCTCGCTCGCTCGCTCGCTCGCTCGCTCCGGCCAGGCCCCGCCCCTCGCCCAGGGCCACGCCCACCCACGGTCTAGCCCGAGGCCTCCTGGGAGAAGGCTTCTGCGCAGGCGCTGTGGGGCCGCAGAGCTTTCTGGGTAAAGATGGACGCGCATGATCTCTTCCGCCGGCTCGGGGCTGGGGCCAAGTTCGACGTGAGGCGCTTCTCGGCGGACGCAGCCCGATTCCAGGTACCGTGCTTGGGGGACGGAAGCCGGGGTCGCTGAGGGGGAGCGGGAGCCCGGGAGTGAACCGGCTGCGGGGGAAGCCTGCGCTGGGAGGCGCGGTGGCCGGGCTGTGGGGCATTTCCCCCTCCTGTGGCGTCCCGTTTACCTAGCCAGGACCCGCTTTCCAAGTTAACGCTTTCCTCATCCCTTTTGTGGATTTAGTTGGGCTTAGCCGCAGATGAAGTTGGGCGGCTCCTCCCACCCCCATCCTAAAACAGAAACAACTCCCAAGTGGAGAGAACAGATTCTTTCATTATAAATTTCCCGCGTTTGGCGTGGCCTGGCGTATACACTGGGTGGCCAGATGATGATCTCCGAACACATAGTAATCTGGCCGCTCAGTGTGCTTCCCTTGAGTACCTCATTTATTTGATATCAAAGATATTATAAATCGTGCACCTGATCGGTTTTCCGCTTTGCACTGGCTGATAGTCTAGAATACTGTTGGTACCCGAGGGAGACACAAATACACCGAGCGGCCAGATTGTTATGCGGTCAGAGATCATCATTATCTGGCCGCTTGTTGTAACTTCAGTGGACGTGGTTCTTTTTAATCACGCATTCCTGTAGCTTGTTATTTAACCAAATGAGAAGAAAGGTTTAGAAACAGGAGGTCTTACATAGGAAAATAATGAGTGATAAATCGGGAAATTGTGGGAAATCTTGATATTGGGACTAGGGACATTTGTGTGAGTGTGCGACACGTGTGTTTCTTATTTCTCTGACTGGCGGTATAGTGTAGTTATTAAGAGTTTAAACTCTGGAGCCATATTATTTGGGTCCAAATCAAGTAACCTAATGCCCGGGTTTTCTCATTTGTAATGTTGCTATTTACTCATAGGGTTGTTGAAGAATGTAACTTAATATATAAATATGTTTTGAAATCTGCCTAACAGCATACAAGTATTATGCTGGTGTTTGTTGCTATTGGTTATTGTTACTGTTATAAAGTCAGAAAAGGTACAATCTTGGATTTCATTTGCCCAAACACATTTATCAGTGTAACAGATTTGGTGAAAGTGTAATAAAGATGGGGAGTCATTGGACCCATCTCCTTACTGCTAATACTGTTTGGGTGAAAGGAATGCCATTCTGTGGGTTTCACTTTAAATGTTCTGTGTTTAGGTAGGAAAAAGGAAATATGACTTTGATTCTTCGGAGGTGCTGCAGGGACTGGACTTTTTTGGAAACAAGAAGTCTGTCCCAGGTGAATGTGGAGAATCAAGAACTAACCAGGAGCTCCAAGATGAAGCGAAAAAAGAAGAGAGCCTAACTGAAAGGAAGAGGGAGCAGAACAAGAAAAAGAGGAAGAGAATGGCTTCAGGTTAGTCCTTGGTTTCTGTCTTTTTAATTTTTTTCCAGTTATGAAAATAGTATAAGCTTATGGTACAATTCAAGTAATATGCAGTCATTTATCAGTTGATGGCTTTCAGGTCTTTCCAGGTATTTATTACAAATATTGCTACACTAAAGATTTAAATGCAGCTTTTATTGTTAACGTATTTTCCATATGCAGTCGTCCCCCTTATCTGTGGTCTTTCTTTCTGCTGTTTCAGTTACCTGCAGTCAACCACAATCCCAATATATTAAGTTGAAAAATTCAAACATCAACGGGGGACCCTGTGGATAAGTGGGGGAGGGGAGCTAGTATATTTGAGTCTATCTTTGGGCTCTATTCTATTTCATTGATTTATATTTCTGTATTCATACATCAATACTAGCTTATTTTAATTATTATGGCCTTATAACGCTTTACAAAATTTGGTTGAGTAGTGTGACACACCATGTTTATTGATTAGGCAACTGAAAATTCCTCCCTAACGTGTTCTATCAGTGCAAACCAAATTAAAATATTAGTAGTTTTTGTTGGTAAAAATTGACAACCCCCCCTTTTTTTTTTAAGTTAAACATGCATCTCCCATATGACCCACCTGTTTCACTCCTAGAATTTACCCAAAGAAAGGACAACCTTTTCCCTCACAAATAACTACACTATACCGCCAATCAGAGAAATACAGATGCTCATAGTGACTTTATTTGTAATAACTGAAAATTATCAAAATGCTGTTCAATAGGGGAAAGATATCCATATGATAAAATGCTACCTATTAATAAAAATTTAAAAACGATTGATACATGCTCCAACATGGATCTCAAAATAACTATCCTGAGTGAAAGAAGCCAGATTAAATATAGTACATACTACCTGATTTATTTATATAAAATTCCAAGCAAAGCAAACTAGTTTACAGTTTACAGAAAGCAAAGGGGTGATTGCCTAAGGATGGAGCAATGCATTACAAGAAACCACAAGGAAATTTGGGGAGGTTATGTAAATAACCTTGAATGTGGATGTTTTATCACATGTGTACATATGTCAAAATTCCTCAAATTGTGTGCTCTAAATTTACTGTATGTCTATTTTACCTCAGTGAAGTTGAAAAAGTTTTCTTGCTCATTGCTTTTCTTAGCATTTTTAGGTTATTTTACATATTTATTTTCCCGTATAAACTTCAAAGTTAGCCAGTCCAGTTACCAAAACAGTGCTGTCATTGCTTTTTATTAAACTAATGCTATTTATAGATTTAGTGAGAATTGCTCTCTTTATTCTATTGAGTAGTCCTTAAGCACTGTGTTGCGTTCATTGCTATTATAAGTGAATTATTTTCTTTTACCTTATTTTCTATCTGGTTAGTGTTTGGATTAAAAAAAAGCTGGCTGCCTCATTGAAACCTCTTTTTGTTTAAGTAGTTTCCCAACTAATCTCTTGTTTTCAAGTGTAGCTCATCTACATATTACACAGCTGAAGTAACTAACAAAAGGAAGAGAATGAGCGTCAGAGCTCTGGTTTTATCAGTATAGAACCTGCCTCTCCTTTCCAGTTTCTGTACTTTCTTTTATCTAATTGCAACAAGTACTGTCTTTGTGTGAAGGTATGGCCTGTTTGCTACACTCTAGAATGTCGCACTAAAAATCTTTTAATTTATTAAAAATTATTTTAGAAATTACTTCAGAAGAAGAAGGTCCTACCATACAGTGGATATCATCTGTGGAAGCAAAAATTGAAGATAAAAAGGTTAAAAAAGAAAATAAACTAACTTCAGGAAAGTTGGAGCATATCAGAAAAGAAAAGGTTAGAAAAATATCTTAGCCCCAATTTCTTACTTAGTGATTTTTTTAACTGTCCTTGGGCTACTCTGTTGGTAAAAGTGAGTATGGTTTTGTTAAGATAGAAGATTAATTTGAGTTTTACTTTAATGAAAGATTAAAGCAAAGTGTTTCATATTCTACTAAAACTTATCCTATACTTGCTTTATAACATCTGACAATATTTTTTACCATATCCATGGTGGCTCCTTTACTGTATTTTTCAGATAAACTTCTTGCGGAATAAACACAAAATTCACATCCAAGGAACAGATCTTCCTGACCCAATTGCTACATTTCAGCAACTTGAACTAGAATATAAAATCAATTCTCGACTGCTTCAGAACATTCTAGACTCAGGTTTCCAGACACCTACACCAATCCAAATGCAAGCCATTCCAGTTATGCTGCATGTGAGTGTGAAGGTCTAGAATGCCTCTGACATTCCTGTGTTTGCTTATTCTCTTTTCTCTGTCTTTGAAATCTTCCTTTCTTCCTTATTCCTCCCACTGTTGAAATCTGTACCTTGCTTTTAAGGTCCATCTCTAATGCCTGTGCTTTTGAAAACTTGTCTTGATCAGTACAGCTGGGTGAGATCTTTTTCATTTACCATTGCTCCCCTATCACCCAAGTCTCCATGATACTTAAGTGTGTTGTTTTTCTTGCAACATTTGTCTTATACTTCACACTACTGTGTTTTTGCTCTAATTATATTTATCGTTTTCCTTTTACTATAGTGTAAACACTCTGAGAGACTATGTTCCGTTTATTCATCCATGATTTAGTTTATAATTTCCAGGAACTATTTCAGAAATACAGAATTTTTGTACTAACCTGACTGTTTTTTCCTCAATACTTTTTTTTATTATTGAAGTATACTTTATATACAATAAAATACATAGTTAAGTGTACAGTTTAGTGAGTTTCAATAATACATACCCTATGTAACCATCACCCCAATGAAGAGATGTAACATTTTTATCGCCCCAGAAAATTCTCTTGTGCCCTTTCCATTCTGTCCTCACTCCACCCCTGCCCAGAGGTAACCACTGTTCTCATTGCTATTGCCATATATTAGATTTGCTTCTTCTAGCATGCCATATAAGTGGAATCATTATTTCATTTCTGGTTTCTCTCACTTTGCATACTGTTTTTGAGACTCACCCATGTTACATGTATCAGTAGTTTGTTACTGAGTATAGTCTGTTGTATAAATGTTTCAAAATTTGCATATCCATCTATTGATGTATGGATTAACCTAGATTTTTGGAAATTAAGTTTTTCTAAGGTTTCTTTTGGTAGTGACGATAGCTACCTTTTTCCCCTTTAAAACCAAGATGGCCTTCATTTCTGGTAGTTATAGGACACCCATACTGGTCCTTTTAATTTTCTTTGAAAACTGAAATGAAAATATATTTGAATTATGTTGTTGACTCGTAGTAACTTTGCTTTTAATTTTCATTTAAGATTATTTCTGTCATGATTTTAGCTTAAAAGTTTTAAAAATCAGTGACTTACTGAAGATTGTCACCTGTTAAATGCTCTGTCACTCAGGTTATGGCCACTTTTCTTTCAGCCATTTTGTTACTTATTAAAACCTTCCCTAGGGACTGAGGAGTACAGATATCAGCACAAAATGTTGGTTTTGTAATTTTGCATTGGTAAAGAGTTTAAGGGGAAAGTACAATTGAACTAATGGAAATAATTGAGGTTGAAAATTATCTTTGTATTTTAGTTATCCACATTCTTTACTCAGTTCAAATGGATGTCAGTGGCAGTGCTCAGAAACTCCATTGTGGTGGTATTGGCAGGTGGAAAATGTTAGAAAAGCAAATATAAGAAAAGTCAGAAGAGTGATGAGAATATGAATTATTAGAGTTATCACATTTTTATTATTTGTATGGCTGAGAGCATTATTTAATCACCTGGTTAATTTAATATACTCTGTTTTTAGGGTCGAGAACTTCTGGCTTCTGCTCCTACTGGTTCTGGAAAGACTTTGGCTTTTAGCATTCCCATTTTAATGCACCTGAAACAACCCACAAATAAAGGCTTCAGAGCCCTGATTATATCACCAACACGAGAACTTGCCAGCCAGGTATGACCTCTCGCTTCTGAAGAGGATGTGTTTTGGTGTTTGGTTCAGTCATCTTTCTTATTTGGGGGTAATAGAAAGGTCTCAAAAGAGTAAGGCCTGTGTCTTTGATCAGGTCAGGCATTCTGTACAGAGCCCATTTCTATGTCTCGTTGCATATAGGGAAATATTTTCTAAAACACTATATTAACATTTGTACTTCTTTGGTGAGTGCTCTAAGATCCTTAAAGTTGAAAGGCTACTGTAATATACAGTCACTCTAAACTTTATTTTTCTCACCTAGAAAAATGAAAACTCATCTAAGTTTTTGAGAAAGTAAAACTATACAGTCATATGCTCCACCCTCCATGTGCTTAATGTGAAATACATGCCAAGTATGAAATATTTTTATAATATTATATATTTATAATATTTATAATATATTCTAAATATTATAAATTTATAATATTATAATATTATATATTTATAATATTATATTCTAAAAACAATGAGTAACAGATTGGATGAGTTTTGGGGTTTTTTTCTGTTGAAAATCGTTTATTAGACCTGAAGAAATTACTGAATTACTAGGCATTGAAGTTCCAAACTGCTGATTTCAGGTTAATCTACACATTATTACAGATTAAATTTAAGGTATTTAATAATGTAAATGAGATTATACATCTTATTCAAGTATTTTAGAAGATGATGTTTTTATCGTTTTTTGTTTTAGACTCACCGAGAGTTAGTAAAAATATCTGAGGGAATGGGATTCAGAATACACATGATCCACAAAGCAGCAATTGCAGCCAAGAAATTTGGATCAAAATCATCTAAGAAGTTTGGTAAGGGATTCATGCTTGAGATGTAGAGTATGAAGAGGATTTAGAAATTACAAATATCCTAATTGACACCTAAGAGCTCTTAAAGTATAGTCATGCATATAATTTTGATTTTTAGAGAAGCTAAAAGAGATCTTCCTGCTCCCATCTAGTAATTATAATCAATATAAATATATGCTAGTGGTTCTCTCCAAAGGCATTTTACCCTCCACCCCCACCTCATCCTTCAGGGATATTTGGCAATACTGGAGACATTTTAAATTGTCACACCTGGGGCAGGGTGCTACTAATCTGTAGTGGGCACAAGCTAGGGATGCTGTTAAACATCCTGCAATGTACAAGATGGGTCTCTACAACAAAAGAGTTTTCTGGTCCAAAATGTCAATGTGCTGAGGTTGAGAAGTCCTCCTCTATACTAATTGCATGGAAATAGTCGACAAGAATAGCTTACATCCCTACCCTTACATCAATCAGAGAATCTGCTTTTTACCTGTCTTGTATCTTGAGCTTCTGAGTAAAATTTCATTTAAAGAAGGATTTTCCTGGCCTGGCTAGTATGGCTCAGTTTGTTGGGGCATCATCCCGTACACTAAAAGGTCTTGGGTTCCATTTCCTATCTGCATACCCAAGTTGCAGATAGGATATCTGGTCAGGGTGCATATGGGAGACAACTGATTGATGTTTCTCTCCCTTTCTCTCTCTGTTATCAATAAAAACATATGCTCGGGTAGGATTGAAAAAATAATGATAGAAAAGGATTTTCCTTGAAAAAAATGTTTGAAAATCAAGCTGTTGGATTATAGTGTTTGTAGATCAAATATAATAATACAGAAGGGATATACTAGTTTGTGCTAGATGGATAAAAAAAAAAAAAAAAGACATGGTGGAAGGGAGCTATGAGGGGGGAGGAGGGGAAAGCAGTGTAATAATCTGAGCAATAAAGATTTATTAAATTTGAAAAATAAAATACATATGTTAGCTTACTGACAGCGAAAAACGTTTGTGAAGGTATGAGTATGATCACTGCCTCCTCTTCCCACTTCAGGTTATTAACTGAAAATTCAGGAGCCTTAGTTTACTGGTTCAAGAGGGATGAAACTTGTCTTTGCAATTTGTACCATTTGTTTCTTCTGTAGATATTCTTGTAACTACTCCAAATCGACTAATCTATTTATTAAAACGAGATCCTCCAGGAATAGACTTAACAAGGTACAGATGAAAATGTCTTTTACATGTGCTTTTCTTTTAGTTGATTATATTTTGTCCTCAATTGCTTGTATTGTTGCCCTGTCGAGCTTACTACTTACCAGTTTTCAGTAAATGTTGGTGCTGAGAATAATGGTGTTCATTAAACTCACAGGAAAATAACTATCTTGTCCGGAAGAAAGTCACAGATTCTGATAAGCAGTTAGCACAGAATTCCCCTAGATTTTCAGCAGTGGTGATGGAGTTTATAAGATTTATGGGAATCTCTGTTTTTTGCTAATTGAACTTCATATCTTTGAGGCTAATGGCATAGTTACATTAATTTATCTTTATCTAACTTTACCTTTCCCTGCTTGTTTTTCTTGTACCTTTTTGTGACAATGATATGTGGGTCTGAGAAGCAGCATTATGGTTTGACTTCTTCATGTGTCTCCACAATTTAGTGAAATGTCTTGGATCTTCTAGTTTAATACCCACAAGTTGTTTTGTTGTTTCTTAGTGTTGAATGGTTGGTAGTAGACGAATCAGATAAACTATTTGAAGATGGCAAAACTGGGTTCAGAGACCAGCTGGCTTCTATTTTCCTGGCTTGCACATCCCACAAGGTCAGAAGAGCTATGTTCAGTGCAACTTTTGCATATGATGTTGAGCAGTGGTGCAAACTCAACCTGGACAATGTCATTACTGTGTCCATTGGAGCAAGGTAATTGTTCTGCATTATCCCAGGGTTTTTTTGTGTATTTTTTTTTTTTTTGGAGGGGGGGTGTTTCATTTACTTGGAATTTGGGGTGGAAGGAAGCAAAAATTGGCTCTTGCAAACTGTGAGGCATGTTTTCTTCTCAGGAATTCTGCAGTAGAGACAGTAGAGCAAGAACTTCTCTTTGTTGGATCTGAAACGGGAAAACTTCTAGCCATGAGAGAACTTATTAAAAAGGTATATTTCCAAATAAACGTTTTGATAAAGTTCACTAAGCTTTATGTTATTAGTGGGATGCTGAGCACTGTACTTATATTTACTAATCCAGTGGTAAATTGTCAAGCACTTTGGGCTAGCTCTTCTCCCAAGGTGGAGAGGTTTCACTGTTCAACTATAGTAAGCTTTCTCTTCCAGCTCAGGGTAAGCTAGGAAAAGACCTACCTGATGCCCTGAAAGCCTTTTCCCACATTTGCATATGTATCTGCTCCCTGCATCTCTTGTCCTCCTCCCCTTATCCCTTCCCCCTTCCTCTCCAGTCCCTCTGCTCCTTTCTTATTGAACTGGGGCATTGTAGAATGAGTAGGACAATTTTATGTTTGTATCCCTTCAGTATACACTGAGTGGCCAGATTATTATGATCTCAACGCATAATAATCTGGCCATTCAGTGTATATCTTATATAATAAAAGGCTAATATATAAATTGTCCCCTCGACCAGGGGTTCGACCAACATGCAGGCTGGCCAATCACCCATGTCCCCTCCCCCTGGCCAGGCTGGCTGGACCCCACCCATGCACGAATTCATGCACTGAGCCTCTAATATATATCTATATCTATATATCTTTATATATCTATATCTATATCTATCTATCTATTGAGTGGCCAGATTATTATGCATTCAGAGATCATAATAATCTGGCCACTCAGTGTATATTGAATAAAAGTCATAGTTAAAAGACTACATACTGAAGGGTTGGGGGGAGACTATTGAAATATATGTAAATCCTAAGCTCTGCTCATAGAATTTAGTCTTCTTTAGGAGCTAAAATAAAGGCACTTGTGTAAAAATAGTTTGTGATAAAGTGCCATAAAAGGCTATAGAGTGCTTTTCTTAACCATTCATATAGTTATAATGGGGCCATAAGGGTGGATTGAATTGGTTGGGGGAAAATGCTACTAATTTGGGCCTTGAAGGATTTGTGGGGTTAAAAAGTAAAGTATTAGTGGCAGGAGGAGCAGCTGTCGTAAAGCCTCAGAAGTGAAGCTGAACACATTGAATGTGTTTGTAGACAATGAAGAAGTTACCTAAGGAGAACTTTTATAGTGGAATTAAAGACATTCAGTTTGGACAGGAGATTAGGGTCAAGTTAAGAAAAACCACTGAACATTATTGAAGAGTGTGGCCACACAATTTTTTAGGAAAATTAAATAGTGGTATATAAGATGGATGATAATGAAAAGAGACTGAAAGTAGAGAAACCAATTAGCAGGCTATTAAGTTAGGCTGGTTAGATAGACATAAGGAGGAAATAAATGAAGGAGAGAGCCTTAGTGGAGGATGAACAGGAAAGGTGTTTGCAAGTATCTGGTGACGACAGGAGTGTTAAGAACATTGACTCTGGAGCCAGACTACCTGGGTTGAAATCCTAGATTTAGGCAAATTAACCTCCGTTCCACAGTTTCCTCATCTGTGAAATGGGGGTAATAATATCTACCTCTTACAGTTGTTTCAGTATGAATGAGTTAATACACATATAGTACTTATAATAGTGGTTGGCAAATCACAGATGCTATATGTAGTTTTAAAAATATTCTTAAGGGTATCATTTAGCTATAGGAAATACAAGATTTTCACAGATACATAGGATTATATATGAGCTTTAGATTTGTGAACGTTCTGAAATTATATGTTAAATTTTGTGTAAATGTGTGGGTTGCCTGCTTTCATTAGATTCTGAAAGGTGTATGAACCAAAATAAAAAGATTAAGCCCTAATATAGACAGTTGAAAATATACAAAGTTGATTTTAGAGAGAGGCAGGGTATGATATAAATGTAAAAATCATTTGCTTAGAGCTGATAGTTTATAACTGAGACTTTAATAAGATAAATATTTTATTGAGGGAACTGAGAACCAAGAACTAAGCTTTGGGGGAATACCCACAGTTAAGATAAATAATAAATTAAAAACACAGTCATTACATTTTAACTAGAATCAAAAAAGTTCTGAGGCACAGAGGCCGAGAGATTATTTCAAGCAGTGGGAATCCATTGGTGTAGAAAGGTAAAGGGGATTAATTAGACAAGATCATTGGAATTTTCAAGATGGAGAGTACAGTTCAAGTTGGTGGAAAGAACCCATTATAGAGAAGGGATGAGGAAGAAGGTAGGCAGATTAGACCACACCCTAGAAATTTGGCAATGAAAGGGCACTAAATTGAATTGGATTCTTTTATGAACTAAAATCGTATAAAATACTGTGATTATATTCTTAATTATGGGTTATGTGTACTGATTATTGCGTTTCTTTTTAGGGTTTCAATCCACCAGTTCTTGTTTTTGTTCAGTCCATTGAAAGGGCTAAAGAACTTTTTCATGAGCTCATATATGAAGGTATTAATGTGGATGTTATTCATGCAGACAGAACACAGGAACAGGTAAATTCAGATGTATACTCTCAAAATGATAATTAAATTTTTAAAATGTTTTCCATTCCTAGAGGGTACTAAAACATTTACGGTATGTTCTATTAACCAGAGAGATAACACAGTCCAAAGCTTTCGAGCAGGAAAAATCTGGGTCCTTATTTGTACAGCCTTGCTAGCCAGAGGGATTGATTTTAAAGGTGTGAACTTGGTGATCAACTATGACTTTCCAACAAGCTCAGTGGAATATATCCATAGGATAGGTGAGTTGTCTCCTGCCTCCACACTCATCCATTTTAGCACCTGTGCTATTCCTACAAACATGATCAGTTTTTTAGTGCTATGAAAAGTCCACTTTTATATGTGAATCTTAAAGGTCTCCTTTCCCCAAAAAAGTGTTTTTTAATGGTCTGGTTTTTCTTAGGTCGAACTGGAAGAGCAGGGCATAAAGGAAAAGCTGTTACATTTTTCACTGAAGATGATAAACCATTATTAAGAAGGTAAATTAGGAAAAATAACTTTGTGTTAAATTGGCAACATTGATTCATTATTCTTATATGTATACATAGTTAACAGGTAATTACAAAATATCTTTGTCCAAAATTCTGCTATAGTAGTCAACTAAATTTTAGCAACGAGAAAAGGAAAAAATGAACAAAAGGCCTTATTTTTGCCTTTCGATTATTTGTTAATAACAAATATTCCAAAATTCTAATAAGTCAGAATTCTCCCAATAGCCACCAGTTGAAACAATATAATATTATGTTTTTTGAATGAGTAATAGTTTAAAATTAACCCAGGTCTCTTTAGCCCCATCCAGATTCTTACTATAATGCATCCTTCCCATTATTCTTAAGGACAGATGGAATTTTATAATTAATACCAGGAGCATACTCCAATATTATTCAATTGTAGCCTCTTGAGTAATGTCTGATAGATATAATAGCATCATGGGTTTTAATTTAGCCCATCATCATAGATACTAATATAGAGGTTTTCTACATTTTGGTTGCCTGCAGAAAATTTAGCCTGATGATAATCTGTAGCACATCACATTTCTAACAGTTGAAATTGAGTTGTGGCCCTAGCTGGTTTGGCTGAGTGGATAAAGCATTGGCCTGAGGACTGAAGGGTCCCAGGTTCGATTCCAGTCAGGGGCAAGTACCTTGGTTACAGGCTCCTCCCCAGCCTGGGCCCTGGTTGGAGGCAACCAATCCATGTGTTTCCCTCACATCGATATTTCTCTGTTGTTCCCTCTCTCTTCCACTTTCTCTAGATAAAATAAAATAGAGTTGTAGCTGAAAGCAATTTGTACTTTGAGTTTACCTGTTTTGGCAAAGATTTTGATCTGTGCTTTCTGAGCTGTGGCTCTGTCAGCCTTGGTTTTTCTTTGAGCAGACTTGCATGTGCATCTGTAGGGCAGTATGTATTCCAACTGCCTAGATTCACCTCAAGTTTCCTCAGCAACTCCAAGCATGTGAATTTGATGACCCCCCATATCAGTGTAACTATGCACCTCCATTTTTCATCTGAGAAATGGTGATAATGATAATACTACAAAGGGTTGTGAAGATTGAGTAAGTTACTATACATGAAAAACTCAAGACAATGCCAAATGCATAGTAAATACTATAATTTAATAGATTTACCTGGTGAGCTTGTCTCTGGCTTCAGTTTCTCATCCAAGGTTGAACTTAGAGGTTTTTTAAGGCTTGATAAAATAAATGTTGAGCAGAAATAGCTGCTGTCTAAAATTATTCATCAGTCATTCTGTTAGTAATCCAATGTGATTACATCTGATGGTAATTGATAATATATTAAAATACTGGGTTACTTTCTTGCTTGTGTAGTTTTAGTTTCTCTTGTATTGTGCAAAGGGTGCAAGTTCATAAACATCAGTTTGATAAGATACAAATTTATGTTAATGGGTACCTTTTTCAGCGTTGCCAATGTTATACAGCAGGCCGGATGTCCTGTTCCAGATTACATAAAAGGTTTCCAAAAACTACTAAGGTACAGTTTTGAATTTACCAGACCCCCTCTCTTTCTCTCTGTCTTTGCATATACATTCGTGCTTTCACATTCTTACACATAGTTTTAATAATTCTATTACTTTTAGAACATTTTAAGATAAAAATTTTCCTTGTAAATTTTTGTGAATACTGTATGTTTTTTAAACCTCGCTAGTTTTCTCATCCTTGAAATTTTAAGTATTCAGATTAAAAAAAATATTCAATATGAGTGAAATACATTTGGATTTTGTTTTAGTTCATAAAGCAATTAATTGGACAAAATCACACTCTAATGCTTATTGACACAGAATATAAGGCTGGCATGGGACATATTTTAGCCATAATCACTGCCTTTAAAATCGATTGAATTTACCATCCCTTTGGGTTACCTCTGTAAATCCCATTAGATAATCTAATATGTAAAGTGGATACAAGTATGGATAAATCAGTGAGCAGATAAAAAATGAATTTTGTAACGAATCAAAATTAGTTTTAGCTTTAACTTTTAAATTAAGTTATACTTTATTTAGTTCTTTCCTCTCTTTTAGCAAACAAAAGAAAAAGATGATTAAGAAGCCATTACAAAGGGAGAGCATTAGTACAACTCCAAAATACTTCTTAGAAAAGGCTAAGGATAAACGGTAAGTATCTGGTGAGAAAATTAACTGGTTGTTTCCGTCATATAGTTATAGTAGGCATTATTTTTCCTCAGGATAAGCTTTTTAGAGGTAGAATTAACAGGTTTACAGGCTGTTACAGATTGTAATTAAAGTAATATATCTTAGGTTGGAGGAATGATTTGGGAGCTTGGATGATTTAGTCTTGGATCTATTTTTTTCCACTTCTGAAAACATGATTTCAATTTACTATAAATTAGAATTGCCCACCATCTCCACCCAACTTGCATGAGGACATGCTGCTGAGGCCAATAGTTAGGACTCATATTGATGGAGTCTTCCTTGAAGCTCTATATTCTGGGCAGGTTTTCAAATAAATTTCATACAAATACTGAAGCACATTGTAAAACCTATAAAAAGTATGACTTTTGGTTAAATTTGTAAGTAATATGGCTATGTTGAATGAGTTTTAAGTATATAGGCGTGTGTTTTTTAGCACACATACAGGATTGCTAGGAAGCAACATATTTTGATAGGAGTAGGCTAATATATTCTGAACAGTACTAGTATTGTCACTATTTATGGAAAATGACACTCTTCAAATTCTACCTGTTAATATATAATATATATGAAATGTAGACATTTACTGAGTATCTATTGTCCTGCTGGTACTTGATGGTGGTAGTCTATACAAATGATTATACAATGAGAGTTATTTCTGAAGCTATTATGCAGGGGGAAAAATAGAGAATAAATTTTAAGTAAAATAGGGGAATTTTATTTAAGAAGGGAAATTTGTAATGGATTAGTATAGTTCCACAAAGTTTCAAGGAAGTACACGATCTTTAAGGAAGGTAAATTTAGGCATATAGAAGGAACAAAGTGAACAGAAACATGAACACTGGAATACACTTTCCTTCTAAGTGGAACAAGAATCTTACCTGACATTTTGCATTGATTGTGGGATGATGTTCAGTTCAGGTATATAGAGAGTACAGTGTTTCAGTGAGTTTTAAGCTTTAATCCCTTGAGAAGAATAATCTTCTTAACTTGTACTTAGTTTTCTGAGGTCTTAATAGGTTTTTTATTTTAATTTTTTGTGGCAGCAATCTCTGGGTGACATTTAGAATAGTGGACTGATAGAGGTCACTCTGCTTGGCCACCTTAACGTGTCTCAGACTTTTTCTTTTTGGCCACCTAATCTCTTGTTAGACTTTTTCTTTTTAGAGGGCATTAGAAACTTGTTCTTTGGGTGAGGTTAAAGTTAGGATTGCAGGTGCAATTTTAGACACTGAGCAGCAGCTGATGAAAGTTTTTACAATGGTTGAAAATTAATTTAGAGCATAAGATGGTGACTGATGATTTTAATAAGAAACTAAGACACAATAATGTTGATTTTGTCCCTTTGTAGCATTTTTACTTTTGAAGTTATTAAAACAAAGATGCACTAAGATTTTGAAGACACTCAGTATAAATGTCACTTTAGACACTTAAGATGCTTTTTTCACTTTCTTTACAATAAATTAAAGGCTATACTTTTTAATTTTTTTTCTCAAAAGAAAAAGGTAATTTAGAAAGTTAAACAGAAGTAGTAGAAGTGAGCCAGCTGGGCTGCGTATGTTCAAGAAACCAGTTACAAAGGCTAAAGGGCCCTTGGTGCTTAGGAGAGAAAAGCAAAGGTAATGGTAGGGGAGGAAGAGGGAGAAGGGATAGTGCCTGTGTGCTCCTGAGAGGAAGAGCGTGCCTAAAGGCCATACTTCTTAACATAGCCCACAAGCAAGAACTGATCTGACAAAGTTTTTCAATGTAGAAGTTCCTTTATTGATGTTATCCACACCGGTGGCCTCAGCTCATACCTCTATGCTGATAACGCTTCCATCCATATCTTTAATCCCTGCTTCTCAACCTGAAAATAATACAAACTCTGCCACTTGGGATTTGCTGAGGATTAAATGCGTTAATATCCATCTGAGAACTTTGCATTACTATACCATGATATGCAAGCATTGATCATTTTCTCAAAACTTACTTTCTTTTCCTGTGCTAACATTTAGTTGATGGCATTCACCAGATTCTAAAATCAGACTGTTGGGGCTCATGTCTAATATTTATTACCAGTGTGTGATGGTCAGCAAGTTGTCCAACCACTCTGCTTAATTTTCCTCATCTATACAATGAGGATAAGATAATTTCTTTAATTAGGAAGATTATCCAAGATGATAACATATAAGGCACTTATAACAGTAATAGCACTTAATGTGAACTCTTACTATTAGGCCAGGATCAGAATCTGTCTTTTATACCATACTGGAGGCCTGGTGCACAAGATTTGTACACTGTTCAGGGGGGTGGAACGGGCCTAAGCTTGCTGTCAGACATCCCTCTCACAGTCCGGGGCTTTTGCAGACTGGGATTGCTCGCTCCTTAACCACCCGCCTGCAGCAGAGGCAGGAGAGGTTCCTGCCACTGCCACTGCACAAACTGACCACCAGGGGGCAGCTCCTGCATTGTCTACCCCCTGGTGGTCAGTGCACATCACAGTGACTGGTAGTTCCATAGTTTGGTTGATTTGCATATTACACTTTTATTATATAGGATTGTAGTGTAGTATAGTTTATTGTATTATAGTTTCTGTCTCACTTAGGTGATTGTGGTTTTCTAAAGGGCAGTGACTTAATGCAGCAATGGTAGGTAGTCCGTGGGCCACTGGTGGTCCGCTAGGTCTGAAAGGTTGGTTACCGCTGACCTAATGCATCCTTGTGTTCCCAGTGCCTCATATATTTGATTATACAGGTTTCAGTCAATGTTTATTAAACTGGAAGACTTTGGGAAAGTACATATAGCTAGAATTTCTGATTCAGCTTTTCTTACATTTCTTGTCACAGGAAAAAGGTCACCGATCAGAACAGCAAGAAGAAAGTATCTCTTAAAGACAAAAGCTAAAAAAAAAAAATTATTTTTAAAGCTGTATCAGAAACATCATTTTATGATCGAAACATGAATGTTGTTTACATGGAATACTTCGTCTTAAAGTCATTTGTAGTCAACTACAAGAACATGGCTCTGGTGAAAAATGATCATGAACTTTCAGTGCATCATGTCAAACTTTTAAATGATTACACAATGAAAATCACATTCATTGACATTTCTGTGGTTTGGCTCCAGAGAGATACTTCTTGTAGAAGAACAAAATGCTACAAATGAAATACCCAGATGTGGGGAATGTGTAAGGACTTTTGCCTTCAAGTGTGAAGGAAGGTGTGATGTGTCTTGTAGAGAGACATTTGGAACCAAATGTTCAAAGTAAAGTCTGGAGATTGAATGTCCCTGGTCTCTCTCCCCCCACCTCAGTCTGTTTCTGTTTTTGAATGGACACAATATCTAACAAGAAGAAAGCTACTGCTCTATATTTTACTATTTCTTGATGGCCTTTTATGGTGTAAACCACAACAAAAGATGCCTCTTCTGTGGCTGGTTTTCAAGTTCTCTGGGATTTTAAATTCCTTGGTCTATTAAATATTCTTATATTTCATTGGTAAGGTAGCTCATACTTTACCTGCTTAATGTTGCAACTACAAAATATGGTCAGCCTATCCCTTTTTATTTTAATTTTTTAAGGAATTTATTGGAGTGACATTGGTTAATAAAATTATATAGGCTTCAGGTGTATAATTCTATATGTCATCTCTATATTATATTGTGTTCACTACCCCAGGTCAGATTTCCTTCCATCACCATTTATCACCCCTACCCTCTCTTACCTTCCCCTACCCTCTTTCCCTCCGGTAATCACCATACTGTTGTCCAGCTTCTCCCTTTCTTAATTTTTCATCATCTAACCATGCTTTTTCCTATCTCTTTCCATTCAAGTTGACTTTTCTTGAAAACTGATAGTTTTGTCCTGATAAGGAAGAATGTTCCTATTACTTGATATACCTAGGGCTGCATTCTCTTTCATCTTACCTTTCCTGAGACTTCATGTCCCTTCATTCATTTAGTAAGCAGGTCTCAGTCAAAGGTAAAGAATTATGATTATACAGTGATGGAGACTATTCACCATTAGTTGATAGATTTGTACAGTGGAATAAAAAATCACCTTCAGTCTTCTCTAGGCTCTGACCCAGTTTGTGGCCACATGGCTAAACATACCAAGAAGGTCGAAATCATGGTTAACTACAGGACCCATTATAGCACCTCCCTCAAGAAAACGGTGAAGAAAATTGAAATCAACCAGCAGGCCAAGTACACTTGCTCCTGTGGCAAAACCGAGATGAGATGAACTGTGGAATCTGGTACAGATTCTTGCATGAAAACAGTAGTTTGTGGTACATGGACCTATAACCACTTCCGCTGTCACAGTGAAGCGAGGACTGAAGGAGTTGAAAGACCAGTAGAAGCATTTCCTTTATTCTTAGCCTTTTACTCTAGAGTCAGTACAGGTAGGTTCCCAACTGGAATCTTTTAGAAGGACAAAAATTGTTCATCTTCAGAATTTATGTAAGTGGAGCTCTATTACTACAAGGTACAAAAAATACAAGTGTGATTTTCTTTGTTCTAACAGGTCGATTCTATATTCTAAAGAGGTATACTGCTGCCACCCATTTGCCAGCTATATGACTTTGAATAAGTTCATTAATTTTTCAGAGCTTCAGTCTTTTCATTTATGGAATTGGGGGTAATACTAATTATGTCTCAAGGTTAGAAGTACCTAACACTGCCAAATGTTGTAAATTCACAACCAATATTCCTTAAACATACTTGGTTCAGAATACAAGGCTTGATAACAATCGCCTTCCAGTGTAGTGGTTAGGGATAAAGTAAAGGGTCAAATAGTGTGGCATATGCTATGTTAGACATAAGGGATCACAGGAGGGCATCTAATCCATACTGGAATTGTCATGGAAGGCTGACATCCTGAGCTATGTCTTGCAGATATAAGGATCTATAGGCAAAAGAAAAAGTATTCAGGCAGATACCACATCTGTGACCCCTGATATACTTTCATTTGACTTCCTCTTCAGTATTTTCTGTGTAACCACCCATCCTTTAAAAGTTAGTTACATAAACCTGTAATCACCTTGGTTTGTCAATGGATTAATACTGAATTTAACACCTTTGTCAGTTGGAAGTAACCTGCACAAGGAATGAAATTAGTAGGCAATTTATGAAGAAGAAAAAAAGCGGCATGATAATTGAATAGTTGGCTCTAGTGAAATGAGCAAGGACCTCTTGAAGTCAAACACCAAGTTTTGAATCCCGGTCCTGCTGCTGTGCAGCTGTATGATTTAAGTAAATTACAACTTTTAACCTTGGTTTTCCTATCTGTAAAATCCCAATACTAACTCCTAGGGACATTGAGGATTTCAGAAAATACAGTGAAGTTCCTGACCAATGATTTATGCCCAATAAATGATAACATTACAAATTATGTACCTGTAAAAGCCTTTAGGCAAGAGTGAAAGATAATTATAATTAATCCAATACTTCCTAGTAAGCAAAATGCTTGAGGGCTTAAAAAAAGTTTACATTTGACTTTATTTTACTTACAGTAATTTGACTAAAAAAAAACCGATAAAAATATGGTCAGATGTATTAGTAGTTATGGACTGCTTTCCAAACACCAGTTTCTCCACAGGCATACCTTTTATTGTGCTACGCTTAACTGTCTTCACAGTTGATGTTTTTATAAATATAAATTGAAGGCAACACCCTGCACCAGCGAAAAGAGTATGATTCATTTTATCGCCATACTCTTTACTGCAGTGGTGTGGACCAACCGCTATATCTTGAGGCATACCTGGGTAGGGAAAATGGATTACTGGGTGGCACGATGGCAGAACCAAACAAGAGTTATGCACCCTGGAGGTTTTATATGTGGCTTGGGGTTTGTTGTTTTACTAAAATAAATTTCAAATACCTTTAGCTTTGGGGGTGGTTATCAAAAGAAAGCTGCCGAGTTCCAGGGAGGAAATAGCGCCGGATCCTTCTATTCTTTGTGTGTAAAGAAAAACCATGAGAGAACACACCATCTAGTTTTTAAAAAAAAACGGGACTCAAGCTGCTCTTCCCACTGGCCGAGATTATGATTTTTCCAACGAGGGACGAGACGCCTTGCAGTTTTGCTGCCAGCTGGCTTCTCCCAAACAGCCCTGTCGAATGAATCAGCTCCCCGAGAGCAGAACTGCACCTGGAGGACCCCCTAGCGGCGGCCGGGTCACGTGAGCAGAGCGCACCGCCCCTCTCCCGGCCGCGGGGGTCACGTGGCCTCCGGCCCCGCCCCGTCGCCCGGTCCGCGGCGAGGTAGGGCCCATCGTTTGCCCCGGAAGTGGCTGTCTTCGGCTGACAGCTGCTCTTAAGGTGGCGGCGGCGGCGGCGGCGGAGGCAGGCCCGGAGCAAGATGGCGCTGCGGCCGGGAGCGGGAGCTGGCGGCGGCGGCGGGGCGGCGGGAGCCGGCGCGGGGGCTCCCGGGGGAGGCAGGTGAGTGTGGAAAGCTGGGCGTGGGCCCGCCCGCAGCCTCAGCCTCGGGTCTGTGGCGGTTATGGCGGTTTTCGCCCGCTGCGGCCCCTGTTTGCTTTGAAACCGGCTACGGGAAAAGGGTCGTCCGGGCTCCTAGGCCGAAGCGGGGGTGGATGGAGCTCGGGCGCCCGACTCCTGTCTTGCAGGCTCAGGGGCACCAGCTGCGGGGGCCGAGCGGGAAGCGGCGGGCGCCCCGGGGCGGGGGGGAGAGGGAGGCGGGGAAGGTGAGGGTCCGCTCGGCGGGGGCGGCGTCGGCCTGCGAACCCCAGCGCCTCGCTTCTCTCCTTGGCCGGCTCCGAGCGCCCAGAGCACCCCCTTCCCCTGGGCTTGACCCGGGTGCTGGAGGGAAGGCCCCGGGAAAACAATTGTTCCCAAGCTATGTGTGTGTGGTGCTGTTCTCCGCTTTAGATGGCTCTGTTTTTGTTTCCTTAACACACCTTACAGTGAGTCAATAGAGCTCTTGCAGATGTAATGCTCAAGACTTGATTCCTTTTTTTTTTTTTAATTACTGTTAAACAGCAGTTACGCAGTTATTAGAACAAAGCTTCCAGACTTTCACTTAGCTCTTAAACAAACTGCCCTCTGTCAGCTAGTAATTACTTGTGGATCTCAGACCCGAAACTATAAGGAAGATGAACAATTTGCAATTGGACAAGGTCATCATTTAAAGAAACATTTTTTTACTCCGGGAAGTCTTAACTTCTATAATGACCTAGTCCGGTTCTGTTTTGTTAGCAAACACATACCGCATCCACATTTGGAGGTAAAAATTAGCTTTTTATCGAAAGCCTTCTAAGTTATCTTTGGAAAGGAAAGTATCAGTTTTTTAATATGCAGTGCTTTGATTTTGGAGTCATGAACACTACAAAAGGGTCAAGTCTTTAAAGGTACTACCTCCTGAAAAGAAAAATAAAATTTTTTTAAAAGGTACTACCTCCTGCAGGTGCTTAATGTATTTGCTAAAAAGAGAGATCAACCTCTGTTCAATAAACCACCACATTTTTTATTTCCTCTACACATCTTTCGCTTAGATTTAAAATTACTTTCTTTTTTGTTTTCTAATTTCCACTGTTTGACAAGAGTTTTTCATGAATATTATATATATATATTTTTTAATATATATAAGTTCCTGGCTGGAGAAGACAAATATGTAATAATTTCTGTATCTTTATATGAGATGACAATTTCTAAAACGTTCTTGAAGTGGCATTAATTTGATCAAGTGTATGATTAATTATGGCTCCAAATTCTGGGGAAATGTAAACTTAAAGTAATTGGATATTCTAAGTCCAGGTTTTTAATTTTGTGTGTGTGTGTGTGTGTGTGTGTGTGTGTGTGTGTGTTGTTTTTTCACTTTTTTGGGCGGGGAGGATTTCAGGTGCAGCAAGTTGAGTGGATCAGTCACCTGAGTTAATAGTATTTTAATATCACTCATCCATGGACAAAGATTTTAAAAATAAATATGGCCTGAATTGTGATAGAATTTGTTGTAACATCTGCATTTTGAAACTCTAGGATATGTAGGAGAGAAAGTGGTTAAAATGCTCCTTACCTTGAATAATGTGTGGAAAGTGTTATATCTATTGGAAACTTTGAGAAGCTGTATGCTCAATGAAGAACCGACACTATGGTTTTTAGAGAGAAGTGGTGAGGGCTGAGCTTACTTTGTGAGGAAGTAACATTATGGTAGCCTAAATATATTTTAGGGGGAAACAATTTTAATAAAGAAAATTCATGAAGTATAGTTTATAGTATTTTCAGATACTTGTCCCTGTTCTAAGAAACTATGCAAAAAGCAATGGCATTTTCCAACTTTATTAATATTAGTCTACTTTTTATTGGTATCCTGAATGGGCTACTTTAGAATAAATGGTATATTTGTATAAAGGACAAATTTTACCCCAGAGGTGAGAAGTATAATTTCTTTTTTTGAAGTCAAAATACTACATAAAAGGAGTTGAAAGATCCTAGAAGTCAGTATCCTTCTAGGATATCATTTGTAACTTTGTCAGTTTTTCCCCTGCTCTTTTTAAAGTTCCTTTAAAAGTTTTCTCATCTTTTCATGGTCCACTGTTTCTAGCACATTTTAGCACATAGAAAAACATTCTGTAAATATGTTCAGATTCAAGCTATAGAAGGCAAAGAAGAGGCAGTGTATCACCTGGGCCTCATTTGGAGGAAGCGGTCAGGAGATTGTCATGAAGGTGGGCATCCCTAGGGAACGTTAGGGAACAGTAGGAAGGCCAGATGTGGCACTGAGTGGGGAAGATAAAGTTGGGGGGGGGGAGGGGGGAGTGCCAAACTTGGAGAAGTCCTTGCGTATAAGCAAAGGAAATTTAATTTAAGGGGGAATTGTTGCACAGCTTTAACCTTAGGAGTGGTTCTTAAATGGTCTGTTAGGAAGATGCGCCTCGGCTGTGCTTTATGAGCTACTGGAGGTGGAGGTGGGGAGAGCCATTAAGAAGTCTCATGGGATTCCGGGCCTGAGAAGAAAAGGCTGATTTGGATTAATAACAAAGATAACTGAAAAGGAAGAATGAATGAAGTAAGCAAGAAAAAGGAATGTGACAAATAGAGTTCACAGTTCTGCTTTCACACTAGCACATCAGTAATAGTGATTTTTACCTTTGAAATAAAACTGTTGGTCATCTTGATGCCCAGTGTTTGCCAAACTTTTCTGTCAGTGTGTTACCTGCTTGTCTAACCAGTCTTGAAGCATGCGGATGGTAGTAGTCTAAACATTTCAGAGTCATACAAATGATACATAGCAACATTGCTAAATAATTACTGAAGTTAAGTCATGTTGATTAGTAATGTTTTTAATTTAGTTTTCATTTGTTTATGTTTTTGAAGTAATCTATCCATCTATTCTTGTCTAATTGGGACCTTGGGAAACTTGCAGTTCTCTGTCCTCATTTGACAGAGGAAACAGGACAGGGTGGGGAAGTGGGGGTGGGGGAATGTCTCAAAAGGTTGGATTACTTAAATATATTGTTCCTACATTTATAAATCTTAGTCTGTAAGTAACTTTTTAAAAATTGAGTACTACCAAATTTTAACTTGTAGTTAAACATTGTATCCAGTTAACATATTACTTAGCTAATATACCTAGTGTGCAGATCAGAAAAGCTGCTCACTCTCCTTGGGTGCAGGCCTGCTTGTCAGCTGTAGAAATTGCTAGGGTTCAACTAGAACTTTGTAATCCATCTTAGAATTAAATTTAAAAGTTTAAGTATTTTTTAGCTTAAAGACTCCAAAGTTTGGTTTTTAGCCTTTTTCCTGGGTATGGGGGTGTTATACAGTAGGAAAATGCAAGGATTCATAAATTTGGCATACAATTCCTGGATTTCACAAGACTCAGTAAAGAGGATCCTGAAATCTTCAGATCCTTGACTCCCAAATTGAAAGCATTTCTCACTCAGTTTTTCTTAATTTGTCCCGTTTTCTTTCCCTCCAAAGAAGTCCCTCTTCCGTTTCAAAGATCCCTTTTGCTACCTCACTAGGTTAATATCATTCCCTCTAAAACCTTGTGTTATAAGTTACTAAGTATATC